GTGCGTTGTGAATAGTGCCTAACTTAACGTTTTTTTTTAAGGGGGGAAAATCATCGAATGACTGCTCCCGCCTGGGTGAGACGGTGTTGTGGGTGTCCATCTTAGGGTATATAATGTTCTGTGCTGATCGCTTACCATCAAGTGATCCGTCTGCTCGTTTGCCTCCTATTCCATAAAACAAAAGGCGGGAGGGAGTGTCAGACTCTTACTGACTAAATACCACCCCGTTCCTTCTCCTGCACTTCGATCCGGAGCCCCGGTAACCTGGTAAGGTTCTCCGCGATAAACTTTACGTCTAGTGTTTCATGTGCGTACATTCAATAAAAAAAAAAATACGTAAAAAATAGAATGAAATCTTTCATTTTTTGTTTTTACTTTCATCGAAAGTAGGTACTCTTTATTGCAAAGAGTATAATAAGTATAGGGGAACTATAGTCGACAAGATTGTTTTGGAGACTCGTTTGCCAAAGAAGCGAAAAAAAAAGTATGTTTTTTTTAAGGGGGGAAAATCTTCGAATGTCTGCTCCCGCCTGGGTGAGGCGGGAGGGAGTGTCAGACTCTTACTGACTAAAAACCACCCCGTTCCTTCTCCTGCACGTCGAGCCGGAGCCCCGGTAATCCGTTAGGTTCTCCGCGACTCCGAATCGGCATCGGCCCTGTTGGGCCCCATCTGTGGCGGTCTGATGGCTCTTTGAGGCGCGCGCGGAACGCTCGGCGCCGTACGCTCAAGTCTGTTTCTGGTCGGACGAGGGTCCACCCATGCTCGCCGTCCGCAGGCCCGCGCTTCCTTCCCCGGAGTGTCCTTCGCGATGGCTGGTTTGCGAGGAGGCAGCGATTCGCTGCCTCACGCGTCCCGCCTCCTCCTTAGCTAGCATGACTGCTTCGCAAAAGGAGGAGACGGCATCCCAGTACACCTCGCTCCGCAAAAAAAAAGTACAGGGCAGGGGTGGCCAACTTGATTAGACCTAAGATCTACTGTTCACTAACGAAATCTTGTGCAATCTACCAAGTACATACTTCTTGAAATTAAACTGCATAGTTTAGTATCTACACATTAATGTATTTTTTAGTGACCAGTCTTAGTGGTTTCTTTTCATATGACATGTGAGATCGTTTCCTTAAATTTACCTACTTAACATTATATGGGTCCTATATATTAGTGTGAGCATTGTGCCTGAGCATTTTCCACTAGTTTAGCATAATCTGGTTTGTAGATAGTAGTTGATAATTACGTTGCGCAGTCTATTTAGTTATGTATTTGTCTGGCCACGATCGACTAGACTAACAGTCGCGATCGACCGGTTGGCCACCCCTGGTATAGGGGAACTTTATTGAAAGTTGTTTTACCGCGGGACGAACACGAAATACATTTCACGGTGTCGGAGATTTATCACAGAGCGCTGGTACCAGGACTCTATGTGTATAAAAAAAACAAACTACATGTACCTTTAACAATTTATTTATTGTAATCATATTCCCATACTTTAAGTTACAAGTATTATAATTATAAAATCTATAAACTTTAAAGCACATATACATAGTAATGTACATAATATAATTATACAATTCAATTACATACATTAGAGAGGAAAAATACAGAGCGACTACTTTTTTTTAATCTGGATAAATTATTTTCCGATACACGTATTTTAATAATTGGCAATGTAACTATGTCGTATATAAGGCAACTTTTTTTTTTTTTTTTAAGTGGGGAAAATCAATATAAGGCAACTTAGTTACCTTTAAAATGAGTACATATTGTCGTAAAATGAATATTTTTTAAAAGTCATAGAAGGTTCGACAAAAAAAAATTGGTTGTGGCTCCGTCTCTTTGCTTCCAAGTGTATAATAAAACGACTGCTTATTAAGAAGATATATTGCTTTAAACACAAAATTCATAAATCTAGTTATAAACATAAAATTTCGAGATGAAAAATATTAATATTAATAAATAATACTTCGTTTAGGACTCATCAGCAAGATAGGGTTGTCAGTATGCATATGTAAGCACCATGTTAGACGATAAGATATGGGAGAAGCCATTAGAAAATCTTCCCCCTTAAAAAAAAGTGTTCCATAATAGCTGCCTACCCCCATAGAGGACAGGCGCGATATATGTGTGTGTTATGCATGTGTATTTTTTTACTAGGACCGGCTATTGGGTTTTAGCAGTGATCTATGGTAGTGTGCGTTACCCAGGCAAAATGTTTTGCTTTAGAGAGATGAGACTTAAACAAATAATTAGTGTATCATGAGGAGCAATTTGTTTACTAATAGCAAAATTTGTTTGAATTGTAGTTTTTAAGTTATTTAAGAAAAACAAATTTTGCTGGAGTAACGTTTGAAACGTTACCCAGGCAAAATCGTCTTTCAAAAATTAGTTTCAGCACGGAACCAAATACATGAATAGATAGCTTTTGTTGAGTAGTAAATGTTTATAAATAGCAAAATTTGTGTGTGGTATAGTTCTTTAGTTATTTAAGATTTTGCTGCGGTAACGTTTTGGGATTTCCCAGATCTCGAAAACGGCTCAACGCAGAAGTTTGAAAAAAATACCAATAAAAGACCTCAATTTGTTTAAATTTGTTTAATCATTAGTTTTTGATTTGGTTGACGTAAACCAATGTAATTAAATGGTTTCAAAAATCAGAAGAAACGGGTTTACAAGTAAACCAATACACTTATAACCAAATAAACAGCTGTAAAAAATACCCGTGGTTCGACGCTTGTTTACAGCAGACATTTTAGATTTCATACTTTACACGTTAAGAAGATAAAAACAAATTTGATTTATTTTAGACTGGTCGTACTTTAGCGATCGAATACGCAGTTCCCATAACATTAAGAAACATGGCATACTTTAAACAAATTAAAATGATTCATGAAAATTCCTTCCTGTTAATTTCAGCTTTGAATTACGGCTCTAATGAAAGTTATCTCAAAAACAAGAATATGTCAGCAATTCTCTAATAAGCCGACCAAATTGAAAAGGTCACGTAAAAGCGACTGCACCGTACGTACGGGTAATCTTCGCAAATTAGCAGCTTGGTAACCGATGTTTTGTACAGTTAAGCAGAAAAACGTTATTCGTGAAGCCGATTTTTTAATATTTTTTAAGTGCAGTACCATATTACACAATTTTTACTAGTTAATGCCAATTAAAATGCCATACTGTGAGTCGAGGTGAAATGGAGTCCACCTATCAACCTACGTTATTAGTACCTCCTAAGGAAAATTGTACAAACTATTAATGTATCCAAATATTAAAATTAAGTAAGTAGGTTATAACTTATCTGTGATTTTTCTCTAAAAATGTTGATGCTAAGGCAAAGCAATACATATAATTTGTATGAGACTGATTTTTTAAATAAAAATAATGAATCTTAACCATTTTATTATTTTAACTAACCTGACCAGAAAACTTTTGTATTCAACTGTACTAACAAAACATCTATATTATCCTGTTCATTTCAGATGGTTGCGCTTATGTATGGTGCGGTCGCTTTTATGTGACCTTTTCAATTTGGTCGGCTCATTAGAGAATTGCTGACATAATCTTGTTTTTGAGATAACTTTCATTAGAGCCGTAATTCAAAGCTGCAATTAACAGGAAGGAATTTTCAGGAATCATTTTAATTTGTTTAAAGTATGCCATGTTTCTTAATGTTATGGGAACTGCGTATTTGATCGCTAAAGTACGACCAGTCTAAAATAAATCAAATTTGTTTTTATCTTCTTAATGTGTAAAGTATGAAATCTAATATTTCTGATGTAAACAAGCGTCGAACCACGGGTATTTTTTACAGCTGTTTATTTGGTTATAAGTGTATTGGTTTACTTGCAAACCCGTTTCTTCTGATTTTTGAAACCATTTAATTACATTGGTTTACGTCAACCAAATCAAAAACTAATGATTAAACAAATTTAAACAAATTGAGGTCTTTTATTGGTATTTTTTTCAAACTTCTGCGTTGAGCCGTTTTCGAGATCTGGGAAATCCCAAAACGTTACCGCAGCAAAATCTTAAATAACTAAAGAACTATACCACACACAAATTTTGCTATTTATAAACATTTACTACTCAACAAAAGCTATCTATTCATGTATTTGGTTCCGTGCTGAAACTAATTTTTGAAAGACGATTTTGCCTGGGTAACGTTTCAAACGTTACTCCAGCAAAATTTGTTTTTCTTAAATAACTTAAAAACTACAATTCAAACAAATTTTGCTATTAGTAAACAAATTGCTCCTCATGATACACTAATTATTTGTTTAAGTCTCATCTCTCTAAAGCAAAACATTTTGCCTGGGTAACGCACACTCTATGGTAACCGTTTTTTTCCTCTTGGCAATGGTCAGTACCTTGTACAATGTTGTCAGCTATGCTGCCAGGACAGATTAATGAATTGTTGAATTTTAACTTTCTGGTAGTTTACCTTTGGTTCCATGCCGTTTTCATTTTACATTTCAATGAATTTCCGACAAATATTATAGAAATTACATTAACTTGAAAAATAATACTAAAACCAAGCTTTAAATTAAATCAATTAATGAGATAAATAAATTGTAGAAAGTACTGTAATGCATATAAGAGTAAAAATAATACATTTTTGACTAATTCATCGTCCGATAGTCCCTAATACATGCATATAGGCCTAAAAATAAACTACTATAAATCTACATAGCAGATAAGAATCATACATTAGCGTATGAATCATCAAACTCCTTACCTATATAAGAGGGTAAACAGACTTATATAATTTTTAAATAACAGTAGAATGGCAGTATAGTTTATCGCCTGGACAATCTCCACACTACATGAGTCATTGTTTACATGTCACCATTAGCTCATGACGATACCTAAGTACGTATCGCCTGGACAGTCCACGCTACCATCAGTTGACTGGACAATCTCTACACTACATAAGTCACTGTTTACATGTTACCACTACCTCATGACGATACCTAAGTACGTATCGATTGGACAGTCCACGCTACCATCAGTTGACTGGACAATCTCCACACTACATGAGTCACTGTTTACATGTCACCATTAGCTCATGACGATACCTAAGTATGCATCGCCTCAACAGTCCATGCTACAATCACTATACTACACGAATCACTGTTTGTTTACACTTGAACTTCACAAAATCACTATGAACAGTTCCTTAAGCACTTTTTAAACACTACATCTTCAGCTTTCAGCGATAGCGACACACCATTCACTATCAATCTCAGTTTCCACTTGCACGGTAGCTTCTTGCTCCAAAACTTGGTTGTTCATCATACCAATCAGTTCAGAGTACTTCGCTCTTTGCTCTTCTGTCATAACGGCTGGGTTATGATTCTTCAGATGGTAGTTCAAATGGCTACTCTGTTTAAAGCGCTTATCGCATATCCCACACTGGAACGGTGCTACATTGGTATGTGTTCGCATGTGTTGCTTGAGATGTACGGATTGGCAGAATGTCTTGCTGCAAACAACACATCGGTATGGTTTGACTTTGGTGTGTATGCGGAGGTGTTGGTCGAGGCCTGATTTCTGGGTGAAGGCCTTAGGGCAGAAGGTGCAGGGGAACGGCCGGTCTCCGGTATGCATTCTCATGTGTTGAAGTACTCCACCCTAGAAATAATTGGAGAGACATTGTTTAGTTTAGTAATTTATGTATTAAAAATTAGATAAATGGGAAACGTGATTATGGTTAACCTTAGCAGACGAGCATGCATGAGAAGTCTGACGACTGTCGAGGAACCGAAAGAGGTATGTAAGAATCGTAGCAATTGGCGTTCCATAGTACCCGGGTGCCCTCAACGTTTAGCGGTTCGGTTCCCGCACGGAACATGAATCTTTATGCGATTCACAGATTGTTGTTTCGGGTCTGGGTGTTATGTGTAAATGAACTTGTATGTTTGAAATGCAGCCACGACACAGGAGAAAATCCTAATGTGGTGCAAGCAACGTTATTAAAAAGAAACACTCCAAAATGGTCCCAAATTATTGTAAGCCCAAGGACTTTTTTTTTTAACTTGGGAAAATCATCGAATGACTGCTACTGCCTGGGTGAGGCGGGATGGAGTGTCAGACTCTTACTGACTAAAAACCACCCCGTTCCTTCTCCTGCACGTCGAGCCGGAGCCCCGGTTACCCGTTAGGTTCTCCGCGACATGCCCAAGGGGTAAGGCCCTGCCAAGAATTTTTTTTTGCCCCTCATTAGGATTGTCTCCTGTACCGTGTGTGCGTTTACAAATATACAAGTTCACATACACATGCGACACAGAACTAAAACAAAATAAAAATTTAGTATCACACAAAGAATTGCTCCGTGCGGGAATCGAAAATCAAACCCACTACACGTTGCGCGGCAGCCATATACCCAGCTACCGCGACAACCGTGCAGTCAAGGCTTAGGTGTATAACTTAATTTCCTTTTGGCAACGCGAGTGAACCAGCTAGTTGATTTTCAGCTCTATCACCATAAAATAAAGGTACAAACTCACATGCTGAGTGAACCGTTTATGGCAGACGTTGCACTCGAAGGGCTTTAGCTTGACATGAGCTATCGCTGTGTGCTGGGACAACTCCTTGCTGGTCTGTAAACCGAGGCCACACACCTGGAACAAATATACAAATATTATTTTATAGTTGCTTACGGGGACAAGAGAAGCAATTATCTCTCTTAACTCATTCTTCTCCTGCGTGTGACATTTGTCACTATTGTTACCGATTGGGAGAACGCGCATATGATAGATAGAGACTGCACATGTAATCTCCACTTCTTTAGCATTATGTCCACCCCATGGGCGTAGCCAACCATGGGCTCAGGGTGGGGCAGCAGCAAAACTATACCTGCGGTCTTACTCTAGTTATTTTTTTCATTCAAAAACATACACATCACGCCTTTTATCCCCGAAAGGGTAGGCAGAGGTGCACATTATACCACTGTACAATGTAACACCCACTTTACACTATTTATGTTATGAGTCCCATGTAATAGGGGGTGAGCCTATTGCCATAATACCGGGCACAATTCCAGACTCTACTCTTCCAATATTTAAAAACCCAGTAATACTTTGCCCGACCCGGGAATCGAACCCGAGACCCCTTGCCCGGCAGTCGCACTTACGACCACTCGGCCAAAGAGGCAGTCAGTTCTTTCAAAAAGTTAATACAAATACCAGGTATTGTTGTAGTATCCAAATAAGTAATTTAGATTTCTAAATTTGGTTTCGTTAGGTTACCTTAATGGTCTGAACCAGGGTAGGGAAAGGTCCCTCACTCTGCCCCACCGTGGTTACGCCTACTCCTGGGTGGAGTCCATCCAAAGGTTGTCTAGTAGAAATCACTATCGGTGATGAGATTGACTGTGTCCCCTTTTTTCTTTAGAATGATTCGATTAAATATCATTAATTTCTCAGTATATGATCTTAATGGCGGCTCTACACATGTGGCAAACGTATTGGACCAAGATACCGGACTGGGACTAGTGAAATGGGACTTTACTGTAGGCAGTTAGCCAGTGATACTATAGGTATAAGGAACTCACCTCGCATGCATAGGGCGTCGGCGCCTCCTCCCCGCTGCAAGCGAGTGGTTTCTCGCAGACTTGGCAGCGGAGTCCCTTCCTACGACGTGTATGTTCGTCCCGGTAGTGGGCAGAGTACTCGCAGCATGAGAAAAAGATCTGGTGGCAGGTTCCATCTGCTACCAGGGTTGAAGGTTGTAGGCATTCGAAGGGGCCGCTGTGGAATAGGAACACATAAATTAATCCTCACTGCCTCGTTGACCGAGTCTTCGCAAGTGCGACTGCTGGGCAAGGGTCTCGGGTTCGATTCCCGGGTCGGGCAAAGTATTAAACTTGCTTCGGTTTGTAAAAAATTCTCAGTAGTAGCACGGAGTCTGGAATTGTCCGGTATATGTCAATAAGCTCACCCCCTATTACATGGGACTCGTAACATAAATAGAGAAAAGTGGGTGTTACATTGTACAGTGGCATAATGTGCACCTCTGCCAACCCATCGGGGATAAAAGGCATGATGTTATGTATGTAAATTAATCCTGCGCATAATTTTTTTCTTTTTAAACGTTGCCCCACAGTAGGATTATCTCCTGTATCGTGTGTACGTGTACAAACATACAAGTTCACACACACATGACACACAGACACGGAACTACTATTTATGGATCACACAAAGAGTTGTTAGGCGCTGGAATCGTAACCCGCGACACGTTGCGCGGCATCAGATACCCAGCCCCCGCACCAACCATGCACGGTGTTAGAAACCACAAAATAACAGGTAAAAAAAAAATTTGTAGCTACTATTTAGGGAATGTAAAACTCGCGAGATTGTTACTTTTTTTTATTCAATTTTAAGCAGTTTATCTACTACTTCTACTTTTTATTGGGATAAGCCTGTAAACGATCAGACGGATCACCTGATGGCAAGCAGTCGGCGTCGCCCATGGTCGTCCATGTTACCGGCCTTTTGGGGATCAGGAACTTGAAGATTGTTTGGGATTCACGGATTACCTATAGGCATAAATGTACTCACGTGATAGGCTCAGTTTTATCCTTCTTCGGCGCCTGTTTTTCCTCTTTCACTACCTTCTCCTTCTTAACAACTCGTTCGACCCTCTTCTTCTTGGTTTCCGGACCTTCATCGGCTTTGATGATGATGTAGCTGACATCATTGGAAGCTAGAGTCATAACGCTGGTCGGCTCCATCTCTGACAGCACCTGTTCTGTCTTCAGCTTGATTATATTGTCCTCTGTTTGTGGTTTTTTCTGAAATTTGAAGAAGATAACATATTAAATTAATTATTATAGTTTTTGTACAACTGTTTGACGAGGAACTTAAATTCTAACTCAAAGTCTTTATTTGCATGTTAAGGTAATACATACAGGTCTTATGAAATAACAGGCACAGCTTAATTGCCTTTTTCAGGCGTTGCAAATTTTACTCGACAAGTTTCAAGTTCAAGAAATCTCCATAAGAAGTTCCAAGTATCAGACCAAGTTATCGAATCATGTAAATGCCTCAGCTACTAAACTAACAGGCACTGGCAGCGTTCAGCACTCAAGACTGAGGAGAAACAGTGTTCCCTCCCTCAAAAACCGTTTTCCAACATTATAAAGAGTGAAGACAATGGACCCCTCTTTAAATTAAAGACACACTCGGGCTGAGGTCAAAGAAAATAACAGCTAAATGTGGAAAAACAGATTGCTGTGCTAAGCAGGATTGGAAAAAAAAAAATGGTTGCCTGTAAAGTCGTTTTTACGGGCGAAGATTTTACGTGACAACGTCTTTTTCTCGGTAGAATATTTATTGATATGAATATAATTAAATTGCACAATAGGAACAAGGAATTGAATGAACTAGTGCTGCGCGCGCGGCAGACCGATCATAGTTGAGTGGGAGAGAGACGCAAGGCATTCGGCGGGCCTCTCTCTCGTTCGGTGACTCATCGTAACGTTACCGAGCGTTACACTTTTTCATAAGTGACTCCCAGCCGCAACCTAATTTAAGACGTTGTCACGTCAAAAAAAA